TTTTTTTTTTAGGCAGTCGCCATTTTGTAAAAAAATTTTTTTCCATTTTTTCCTTAGTTCCAGACATTGCGACATTATTATAGATTAAGAATCTTATTTTTTTTTTGGTTTCAGATTGCTAGGAGGGTCAAAATCGTGGGTATGGTCACGCACCAAAATTTTGAGACTCCCCACTTCATCAGCTGATAATTAACAGGATTTTGGATTTTTTTGACTTTTTAATTTTTTTTTGTATTCTTCTAATGTTAATAAATAATGTATAAAAAAATGGATAGTAAAAATGTTGATTGCTTTTTTTTTACAGCACTCCAAAAATGACCTAAAATTTATGTCTCTAGACCAGAATACCCCCTTAAAGGTATTAAGGTCAACTTTTAAAAATGCGCGCTACACGCGCGTACTATATTTGAAGTTAATTATAAATAAAAAAGAGAGCTCCCTTAAAGATTATTTTCTTATATAGATATATTATTACGGAGTAACAAATAATAGAAAAATCTAAAATACAATAAAATACAAATAGATATCAAAAAATAATAAAATACAAAAATAATACATAGAATGTAACTTATTGTATAATACAATGCCAAAATTTAATTGTGAAACATTATCCAATTTATTTGTTGATCGCATACAATTAAATTTAAATAAAGAAATATTCAAACGTAGTATTTTTTGTAACTGTTTACACGACATGCAAGTAAAATAATTAAAAAAATAATAATTTTTAAACGTGTCCTGAATATGAAATTTTTCACAGCCTTATCGTATCTTTGTATTCTATGATCAGGTACTTATGTCGTAACAATATCATGTTTATTGATTTTCTTTGGAGATAACGAATTTGTAATTATTACTTATAATTAATTTAACTACTCCTGAGAGAAAATTATAATATAGTTCTATATATTATGTATCGAATAATACGTAAGACATTACTTAAACAAAATAAATTAATTTTAAAAATACGAATATATATAGTGTTACTGTTGAACTAATTTAAGTATGCATCGTATACAAGATAGATGCAGTTTTAAAAAATATCAAAATATAAACCATAAAATATATGCAATATGTATTTGTGCTGTAAATCACATAATTTAATTTTACTTAATTTTACTTAATTTTACTTTAAATTTTACAACCAATATTAAAACATATTTTTTTTAATAATTGTGAAATACGTAATTATATCGAAAATATTTATGCGTAAAAGTGACTATTACTTTGAAGTCATATCTATAGACAGGCCCTTGTAATTAGCGTTTAGAAAGATTAATATAAAGTATAAAAACAATTACTATCGTCATTGTTTTACGAAAAGATGGAAAAATCATATTATCATATTATACTAAAGTTAAAAGTATATACTTAATATCTTGTAAAAATATAGTTTCGTAATATGTACAGAAGTATTAACTAAGAATCAGAGATTACATTATAAATTCGTTTTCATATCATCACCGACAACATAATATATTATTATTATTATTATTATTATTATTATTGTTATTATTATTATTATTATTATTATTATTATTATTATTATTATTATTATTATTAAAATTTAGAAAATCACATATCTAATAATCACCGAGTAGTTCTTTAATAGCTTTTGAAAATTTGCTATTATTTTCTTATCGTTATTTTAAAATAATCGTTTCTCTTGTCCATAATTAAATTCTTCTGTCCAGCTGAAAAACTGTAATTTTTTTTATATATATTTGTATTTTAAAACTGATAAAGCTAAATATACTTTATCTTCAATGTGATTGTAAAGTACTTAAGAAGATACGAAACATCAAGGGTGAAACTATTAACGCGAATAGAAAAATGAATTAACTTTTTCTCTCTCTTTTTTTTTAGGAATCCAAATCTGGTAGAGCACAATTGGTATAACTGCTGCTGTTTTTAGTGACGTTGTTGCTGTTGCTGTTGTTGTGGTTGTAAATGTCCCGCGTATCATTGAAGTGGATATCAGGTGATGAGCTACCTTTACCAATAAGAGGATTCTTTGATTTCATGAATTTGTTTCTGCGCGGACTGCAAACCTATATATATAGGAGGAATATTTTCTTTTTCATAATTCTTATGGCATTGTATGCTCTGATGATAGCGTTTTACTTGAAGAGAGAAGCAGTTTTGATCAATATTTTCCGTAACCGGCCTATCTACCGATGATGGAGACATCAATCCATTGTCTACGCGATTGCAAGTGTCTTGATTCTTATCCAATTTCTTTGAATAAAGAATCAGAATATAAATATTAGTCATTTTGTGTAACGATTGTATCTAAAAAAGAAAATACTCACAAATTTTCGGTTTTCCATAAATTTCATAACGCCGTCATTTTCTCCACTGATTACATCTATTTCAAATTTTTTTCCAAGTATTTTTACTTCCTTTTTACGCACATTGTTTAAGTTATTATCGCGCATACTTAAGGATGCTTTCGAATTTTTTAAAAGACCCTCGTAAGGAGAGAACATTTTTAGATCTTGAAACTGTGCTCCTATTGATTCTTGACCATGATTTTTTGGTCCTAAAATTTTCACCTAGCAAAAATTTGGATAAAGTTTTGAAACTGGTGACAAAGTATAGTTTTTTTCCAAAGTTCTACCCAAAAACATGTCATGTGAAATTAAAATTTTTGTTTTAATTATTATTATTTAAATATTTATTTGTTCTTTCTTACCTTCGTATTAGCTTGATTTTCTGAATCAAGAATTTTTATTTCTGGATGATTGAAGGGTATCATTCCAGTATTGTGATCATTTTCATCGAATGGTAATTTCATTTTTGAATCACATTCTGCATGATCATATATAGTATTGTTAATAATAATCATATCTTCTGATATACTTTGATTAGGCTTAAGGAGAGGTAAGGTATTATTTATCATGGATGTAGATGAATGATCCTTATATAAAAACGAGGTACTCGTGTCTCTTGACAATCCAGGAATATCATTCTTATGGTTAAGAATATTCACAAAATCGTGATGATTTGACATTACATCTAAATCTAAACGTTGAAAATAAATGTACCGTATAAATATACCGATAAGTATGACAATGGACTAAGTGAGCAAATTTTAAATATTAATTTTGATTTATTCTGTAATATTTGCAATAATAAAATAAATCATAAAATAAAATTGTTTACTTTTTTAACTTAATCCACTATCATAATTAATTATTTTAAAATATAATATTTATATTAACCTTCGTCGCGCGCGTCGTGTTGCGTAATATTGATACTATTATGATCAATACCCAAAGATTTAGAACAAAGAATAAAATCATCAATCTTGGGTTGTGGTAAAAAGTTATGATCGTTCATAAAACGTTCATCGAGACATCTGGTTTCCAAAATATTGATTTCCTTATCCTCTAATATCTCAATCGAATCCATCGGCAATTGCTTCCGCGATGAATTAGAATTTAAAGCCGTAATCTGATTATTTGTATCGCTCATGATTATATCATTATTGCTATGTAAATTTACAGCATTGATAGCGTCCGATTCTTCGCTATTAAACATTGTCATCTCATGCGAATTGTGCACCATAAGATTGCGAGCTTCATTACTCGTCATTAACTGTGGAGTTAAGTTTGTATTCAATATTTTTGTAGTAATTAAATAATTTTTAAAAATATTACCTCGTAACCACCATCTTCAGTTGCACGAATAAATTGTATCCCACCTTGTACAGCAAGATCTAATAATTCATTATACTCATCGGTCGAAGAAATTGTAGATGGATCAAACGAACGGTGTGATTCACCTCCGATATGATCCGAATATATAAATTGACCGTCTAATGATGTAGATACACCTAACATTTTGTAATAAACACGAATAGAAATAAACTTACATGTAATAATATAATTATATATTATTATTATTCGAGATATAATATATATTATAAATGTAAAATACCTTGATGAGATTCGGATCCAGAATCAATAGTAAAACGTGATTTTCCATCGGGTTCGACTTTTTGAATGACAGAATTTACAATAGGCACACGTATTTGTATAGATTTTATATTATCCAGATTTCTAGTTCCAATAGAATTAGTTCTCTCAGTTGTTTTTATATTATCGCTACTTGTCGAAGAAACGTTCTATAAAAAAATATGTATGAACTTTGGATACGCGTTAAAAAATATTTTTATTAATTTTTTTTTATATATATAATATTTTGTTGTAATTAAAAAATATGTATATGCTTTTATTTCTAACCTCCAGCATTTTATTCCCTTCTTCACCGGGCAATTGTACTATTCTGACATTTTTACTACAATGAAATAATTAAATATAAGTTAGAAATACTTTTACATATGCTTACGTAAATAATACCAAACAATTAAATTATACAAAATATATAAATAACAAGTTTATTATAAATTACTTGAATAATTCATTTGAATTTATATAAGAGATTTTTACATACTTTTTAATAATATTCTGATTATTTGATCCGGCCAGCGGACAAACTGGCTGCCGATATTTAATCCCATGTTTGTATTCCTCGTGCGATCTCAATGAAAATCTTCTTGGAAATTCCTTGGCACAAATTGTACACGTATATTGCATTTTTTCAGCATGCGCGTGTGCCTTTACTTTATGACACACTAAATTCGACATTTGATTAAAACCTTTCCCGCAAATGTCGCATTTGTATGGCCTCTCGTTCGTATGTGTGAAAACGTGATTTCTTAGATTACCTGAACAATATATTAATATAATTTGGATATAATTAATTAAACACAATGACAAAAATATTTACTACTGAAGGTTTATACTATTTTTTATTTAAATAATTTTCGTACAAGTAAATTTCTAACACCAATAATAAACATTACTCTTTATTTGCAATTTAATATACCGTCACCATTTTTATTGCAAATGTATTTACATAAAACATGCGTATTTAAAAAAAAATAAAATTTATATTTCACTCTGATATCACAAATATATACAGAAAATATTATAAATACCTTTAAATTAAATTTGTTGGTGTGAAATAATCCTGTATATTATATAGTAAAACTAAAAAAAAATTATTTTACATTTTATGTACTTTTGTAATAATAATTTAGTCGCCCAGAAACCAATGGGGTTGTCCATTCTTTTTATATATTTTCTGATGTTTGTAAATTTTAATAAGATAAGTAATATTATTCTTTTTAGTTATTAAAGGATTTACTCGTTGCTTTGTTTTTTCTATCTTTTTCAACTGCCAAAAAGTGAAAGTCCTAAAGTTTTTAAAATGCTGTCACTGTCCTAATAAATACTTACGTTTTTATTTGCACATCCTGTATATAGCTTGTTTTGTTGCAGAGCTTACCCTTTGAAAAAAAAAAAACTTTATATACTTTTCTAATCAAATTCAGAAACCAAAAATTTTTAAAATATATTACAAAACATTAATTTCCTCAATTTTCATTTTCTAGACTTAACCGCATTGGCTTCTAAGTAACTCAATTAACAAATATAACTTTTATTGAGCTTTCATTCCCTAAAGAAGTTTAAATTTTTATATTGATAATTATAATTTTTAAAAAATTAATTATTAAGTGTTTTAATTAAATTACGACTACCTTTTTGATGAAATCCTTTCCCACATATATGACACTTGTGCGGCTTGTGTTCAGAATGAGTTTTCCTATGCGAGATTAGCGTAGATACTCTAAAATAAAAAACAGACTTACTTATTTATTAATTCATTGATTATTCCATTTTCTGCTCACTTCGTCGTACCTATTAAATGTTTTTTTGCAAAATTCACAGACGTACGGTCTCGCGTCGCTATGAATGGCTTTGTGTTGACTTAAAGTTGACAATTGACGAAAAGCTTTACCACAAATTTCGCATTTAAAATTTCTTTCGTCGGTATGAGTTGGTAAATGCCGCATCAATGTATATTGATGACGAAATTCTTTAGCACCTATAATTTGATAAATAATTTAATATATAAAAATAAAAAATAGAATCTTTCTTGTTATCTGTCCGTCATTTTTTCGGTATGCCATTTTTTTTATACAAAAAATAATCAAAATATGTATGTGGAGTTAATCGATACAAATATTTAAATTGTATATTTTACTGTCAAAGCCGGAAATCAGGCATTACTAGTAAATCCTCGGCATTACTATGAATGTGAAGAAGCATATTAAATACAAATTCTAATCTTCTAAGAGCATAATAAATACAAATTTTATTTTCAATAGAATGCTTTATCTTCCGATACGATAAAGAACAAAAGATACAGATTTTTTGTAGATATCTCTACGAATATCTGTCTAAATATAATATATTCTTCACTTACTATAATATCAGTAGGCCCTATATAATAACACACCGGTATAGAATAAGTTACAATTCCTACAAGTGCGCACAGTCTTATAAACCCGCACACAAGAATTCACGGAGCAGTCAAGGTGTTTAATAAGTTAAAAAAATATTTGTTTTTTGGTATGTGCTCTTCGAATGATTTTTAATAAAATGCAGGTATAAAACATTTCATTCTAAACCCGCTTATCTTCCGATACGATAAAGAACAAAAAATACAGATTTTCCGTTATAGCGACACGACAGTCTCAGCAACCCCCACCATGTTCGTTTGTGTGTGTGTGTTATGGGAGCGATTAGCGGGTTGTTTGTTGGGGGAGGGGGGGACTGTGCTCAAGGATGTATTCTTTTCAACGTTGTTTAATGTTCGATTGTTGATTTATGTTCGATGCCTAGGAAAAATCGGAAGAATTTTTCAATTTCCGACTTCGTCTGAAGGCTCTTCACATTCATAGTAATGCCGAGGATTTACTAGTAATGCCTGATTCCCGGCTTTGACGATAACATATATAATACACGTAAAATTCAATAGAACAATTATTATACAGGGTGATTCACTAACTCTTGCCACCAAGATAGCTCCGAAAATATAATAGTAGCAGAGAAGTTTATAGAATAAAAATTGCATGAAAAATTCGGGAGTATAATATGACGTCAGTATTTTTTTGCTAGGTTTAGTCGCTTCCGAGATTTAAGGGTCAAGTTTGTCTTTTCAGCATTAACTTTTGTCTTGTCAACATTAAGGTATTTGAAGGTCAACGAAGGTCAAGTTTGGCGAACCATCCAGCCACGATACAACTCCTCCGCGTCGTGCTTACGTCAGGGTTGCGTCATCCTTTAGGTGTTTGACAAAGGATGGAACAGACATGGTCCGAATAATTTTTATTTGTTATTGTCAAGTTTTGTATTTCATGTTGCATATCGTCGGATTCGCCACGACAGCCGCTATCAGAAAATAAGTACCAAAACATAGCATTCCATTTGAAAAAGTAAACTTGACCATTAAATATCAGAAGCGACTAAACCTAGTAAAAAAAAACTGACATCATATTATACTCCTGAATTTTTCATGCAACTTTTCTGCTATTGTACTTTCGGAGCTATCTTGGTGGCAAAAGTTAGTGAATCACCCAGTATTACAAAAATAATGGCAGACAATTAATAAAAATCTCAAAAATAAAAAATAAAAATAATTAATAACACATACAAATTCCGCATTCCCAAATTTTGATCGTTTTCCCATCGCGTTTTATACGTTTGACGAAATGTAGTCTTGATCTAATATCATCTTTATCGATTAAACGAGTCGTAGAAGAAGATGGACCGTCAGTTATCGGATGTGAGTAAACGACAACGTTATTATCGTTCGTAGGAATGCATTGTTCTAAAATCTATCAAAAATTCATCTTATTTAATTCATATTCAATTTGTTAGTTTCAATATTGAAAAATAATGAAAAATAATGAAAAATATATTTTATTTATTTATCGTTGAACTTCTTACTTTATAATTTAAAGCATCCTTTCCAAGAAGTTTGCTGACTGTACTCTCAACTTTAATGACCTCAGTGTCAATATTTGTATCCAAATTCATTGAGTTATGTAAATCACCCTTTAAAAAATAATTTATTAATTGATATTACTGGAAACTAGAAGAGGAAAATTAAATTTTAAACAATTTTAATTGATGAATGATATAATTTACTTGAATTAATTGATGATCGTTCGAAGATGGTGCGCTAGGAATAATTTGAACATTCTCTGTTACAATATTATCTTTAGGTTCTTCTTTTACAAATACCTCGTATACACTGAAACAATATATTGAAATAAATATTTATCAATATTAATAAAAGATAATAAAAAGATTCAAAAAATAATCACCTGATTACTTCATCTGGAACTGTGCGAGAAAATTGTACTTCGTTTTCTTCGTATTGCGTACTTCCAACGCAATCCAAAAGAGAATCTCCAAAATTATTTGTTTCATCTATCAAAAAAGAAAATACAAAAAGAAAAAACTACATCAAATTAATCGATTTACAAATGCAATAAAAGAAGAATCGCAATACCACAAAAACTTGTTGACGAAAAAGATATTAAAAATAATAAGATCAAAATTAATTTTCGGTACTTCATCGTGGGTATGTTCCCGTCCAAGTTGAAAATGCCGAGATTCACCGAAATGTTTAAGCATTGCCTGCAATGCCAAGCGTTTTTAGACAATGTAGGAAACAGTAGAGTTGTTATGGACTTTTCCTAGGCATTGTACATAATATTGTACTTAGGTATTCTATAGAATACCAAATGCTATTTAGGCAATATTGAGAAGAATATATTATCGGGCACATGTGCGCGCGCGCACACACACTCGATCATGGGGAGAGCATAGTAAAAAATTAATTTTTTTTTATTAAACACCTTGATTGCTACGCGAGTTTTCGGGTGCGGGTTTTCGAGACTGTACGTGCCACTATACTATACGCATCTTTATAAACTGAAACTTAATCAATGCAAGTTTCTTATTATGCAGGGCCCACTGTTCCTTATTGTATTAGAAGGTTATTACATTTAGACCGATATTCATAGAGATTACCATGGAAAATCTGTATCTTTTGTTCCTTATTATATCGGAAGATAAGCGGGTTTAGATTGAAATGTTTCATATCTGCTTTCTTACTTTACCGGTTTCTCATTTGTCATTCTAAACAATATTTAGGAAATGTGAGAAATATGAATACATTTTCTACATTGCCGGGTTTTTTCTTGCCTAGGCATTTTGGTGAATCTCGAATTTCCCATTTGGACGGTAACAGGGACAACATAACAGAATCAGCTTTTTGTAGATTGAAGATTGTAATCAAATACTTTTACGCACTTGCGGAATTACTAATCTTTCTCTACCAACTATTTCCGCTAGAAGCTTGCTTTATTCATTCAAAAGAAAAATAATCAAGTATTAATGCACATATCCACAATAATTTTTTTTGTATCTCCCTTTGTTACATGCGTGTATTACCAAATAATGCCGGTACTTGGAAAAAAAATAATATTTTCACACACTATAGGCTTTCTCAAATAACAACGCGACTGCGAGTGCGAACTACACAATTAAAACCTCGCATTCACATTTACATCAACTATGCATATACACGTGAACGAGCAAATAAAATGTCACACATACTAATTACTGTGTATTCCGTCTTTCTCCGCTCTGTAACAATAAGACGACAAAAAATCCAAACCAGTTCGGATATTACTATTCGTATATCGAAGTTCCTTCTTTCATTCCATAGGATTACATCAAAGAATACTTCAATGTTATATGTTATCTCTATCCTATTGAAATCAATTTGTGAACTGAAAATTACTTTGTAATATATTTTTATATATGTAATTATATTTCTACGAAATGAAAGTCTGAAATATATATATCACCAGCTCGTGTTAATTAAATAATTAAAATAATTTCAAAATACTTCTAAAAATAGTACAGAATTATTAATTTTGATTATGTTGCAAATTCCTTAATCATAATCCAAAAAAATGTTAAAAATTAATAGGAATTTCATGAGCACACATTTAATTAAAAATAAAGAACTTGTACCCTTTTCTCTTTGCGTTATTGATTTTGAAATAATTTAAATTTGTACAATTGTTATATGCATGTTAATCAATACGGAATAATATTATTCAAAAACATAAAAAATAAATAGAAATAATAAAAATATTCAAATCTTCAACTACCGGTGTACGAGAAATGATCGATTATTGGGGAAATTTGAATTAAATATAAAATTTAATCCTGTGTTTTTTGATTGTAATCTGATAAAAAAAAATTAAAGAGAAATAAATAAATATTTAAAATAATAAATGTAGCACCGATGAAAGATCTGATCTTCAATATTAAAAATTGAATATTCATGAATTGTTTTTGTGTATAATCACGGAAAATGAAGTGTTACGCATGTATCTCATCGATAATTAGCATTCGGAAAGACAATCTACGAACTGTAGGGATCAGTAGAAGGGCGATATTTGGTAGATGGACTTTTTTTTATTCTATCGATGATATTAAATAAACAAAAGCCGCCATTATCAGAGCTGATCGCGCTTCAAGCGCGTTACGATCGCTTGACTTTTTTTAAACAAAAGTCTTTAATAGGAACTTATTAAATCATAAATAAATCAAAATAAATATCTAAAATTACTCACAATTATACGTTTGTAGCAGGTTGTTATCGGACATCTTTTTAACGTCAGATTTTTGTCTAAAACTATTCGTTTTGCACGTGGACGTTTATATCGCGGTTGTATTCGCATCGACCGCCACTAAGAAAACGTATGTAAATGGCATTAAACTGATGGACTAGTATAAAACGCCTCTCAGCGGATTCATTTGTAATTATTATCTTTCAATATCGAAAATCGACGTTCACTGCATATTATATATCGAACAATAGCAGTAATTTAAATAAATTAATCTAATAAACAAATGAATTACCGTCTATGATAATTATCGTTTGACGTGATTCTTTTATTTCCCTTTTCTCTTTCTATTCTCATTGATTAAATTTTAGTTACAATTACATAAAGAATTGATTTCGCAGATTTTAATCATTATATAATACACGAATTATTTATAATATTAAGGGGGGTAGGGTTAATTCGGTCGAAAAATGGCATATTTTTATGAATTTTTTTTGAAGAAACGGTTAATATAAATGATGTCATTCTAATGGGGTATTGTTAAATCACATTTCAAGAATACTCTGTGAAATTTTCGTGAAAAAATATAAAGATTTGAGCTAGTGGCAGCAACTTTTGTCAGGCGCCGCGGAAAAACGCGTTTTGCGGTGAACATCAAAACTCAAAACTGGATTATCAAAAACAAAAAAACCTAAGCGATTCTGTGTTAGTCGAGAAAAATATTTTTTTTTTGTATTTTTGGTGGCATTCTAAAGTCAAAAACCCAATTTTCGACCAAAACACCAACATAAAAAATACTTAAAATTAAAAAAAGAAAAAGACTCGACAGCGTTACCTCGCTTAATATGTGTAGAAAAAGTGTGCAAAAAATCAAATCGATCGGTTTAATAGATTTTGAGTGACAGTGTCCATCGACTTTTAAAAAGCAAGTTGTGAGAAAATCGATTTAAAGTTTGACATTGAGAAATTTCAAAATTCATCATAAATAAAGATGTATTTTCTTTTTTTAGTTAAATAGAGTCGTCAATTCCGCGTCCGTACATTATGGAACTGTCATCAGAGATGTCCAGAATTCGTTGATGCTCTTGTTTACGGCTAAACCGACCTTCTTTGCTTTGAAGCGTAGTTTGATTTCTGCTCAATTAATCCTTTTTTTGTAATATAAAGCATACTAAAACTGCTGTATCTCCGTCAATTTTTCTCAGATCGACTTGAAATTTTCATAGAATATTCCTGAAATATGGTATATTCACCTAAAAAATTTTCAAAAAATCGAAAAAAAAAAAATTAAATACCTTACCCCCCCCCTTAATTAAAATAATGATAAAACATAATTTGAAAACTGATTTATATTCAATAATTTATAGATTTTTGTTTGATTAAGAATTTATACTTGTGCGAAATGATTTTCTATGTACACACACACACATTTATATTTACTATAATTAAAAATTTTATTGAATATTTTTGAAGTTATACTACTCAATCGATATATAGTTAACGTTCGCGTGGTAAAACAGGTAATGCGATGCGATCCGATGCCCTCTAGTTTTATTTCGGTACTGTTTGTTATTATACCGAAGAAGATTTTGGAACAAGTTTATATTTTTATTTTTATTTGTAGATAATAATATAAAAAATTATTAATTAACAATGGAAAATACGGTACCAGAACCAAAGTATTTTTTACGTAGTAATATGGGACCCGTTCATTGCCTTTCATTTTATCTTACTTCTACCAGGGAACATTTATATGCTGGTTGTTCTTCAGGCAATATTTACATTTGGGATTTGGAGGTATGAAATATGTGTTTTTAGAATATATTTTAAATGATTTAACATATTTATTGTATGTATAAAATATTTAATAATATTTTATTTTCTTCTTATTCATCAAATTTTTCAATCATATTATATTTACATATTTGTTCCAGACTAATAGGGTTGAAAAACAGTTCCATGTAGGAAGAAAAGATCCCTGTTTAACTATGCTTAATATGAATGACAACCATTTATTAGTCCAACAAAAATCTGGTAGTATCAAAATGTATAATTCCGCTGAATCATATTGGGAAATAGATAGAGAAATTCATCTTGATAACTATACTTTCTGCAGGTATATCATTTAAATACTTAATAAGTTCAATGTAGATATATATTGGGTTGGCAACTAAGTGATTGCGGATTTTATCGATAAACAAATTACATTTAATTCAGTCTTTTGATAGCAAAGATCAGAAATTTTATGAATGTGGAATTATGACACTGTTCTGAACGATGGCAAAAGGTCATTGACAAAAACGGACAGTACCTAATTGAATAAAGTTATGTTTTTCAGCAAACATTTTGAATTATCTTTTGTATTTAAAATCCGCAATCACTTAATTACCAACCTAATATTTACTAAAATATAATGAATGTCATCTAACTGGTATTATAAACGAGCTAATTTGTCTAGTACACTTGATCTTGACTCAGTTTAAGTTCAATGGATTTCGGTATTTTGCTTATTCTCAGAATTTAGGAGAGCATTTTTGTGCTTTTTAGTATGCTTACAAACATTGTTAATATTATAAAATCTTTGGTATCAGTTTTACTCTTAAGCTTATCAAACAAGACATAGTTACCAGGGTTGCACTTAACAAGTAAATTGCTATAGATTCTATTAAAAGACAAATGCAGTATTTGATTAGTTTCTGCAGTTATAATCAAAGAATGAGTAGATTAAAATCAATAAAGTATTTTGGAATTAAATTTATCTGAAGTTATTTTTGCATGATTACAGATCTCAAATACTATCGGAAGATGTTATCATCGTTCCTCTTAAAAATTCTAACATTGGACTATATTCCACCAAAAGTTTAGATATGATCACGATGTTAAATTGCGAGCAAATCTCATGTGGGAAAAACTTAGGTGAAGTAATGGCTATAAAACCCTTGTCATCTGAAAATCAACAAGTTCTTATTGCTTATGAGCTTGGATTACTTGCATTATGGGATATAAGAGCAAGAAAAGTCCTTCATTGCATGTATGTTGAATCTTTCCCCATGACTCTTGACTTTGAAACTAAAAATATGCAAGGAATAGTTGGTTTTCCTTCTAATAAATTGCAGGTAAAATTTTCGTGTAATAATTATTATATTTAAATCGGATCATATGATATGATAGAATGTCTTCTTTATAATCTAGATATTTAGTTTATTACCCAACAAATTAGAAGATAAAGACCAAATAACTTTAAGAACACCTGGTACATCCGTTACAAGTTTAAGACCGGATACAAAAATTTGTGCTGTTGGTAGTTGGAACGGTCGTATTAGATTATATGCTTGGAAAAAGTTGCAATGCTTAGCAGTAATTAATGAATATACAGATATTGTGTACGATATAGTTTATTCGCATAAAAAAATACAATCATATGATTGTAAATGTTTAATGGCTGCTGTAGGATTAAATGGTTATATATCTTTATGGGATCTTTATAATTGATATTAATAAATTTTAGAATTAAATATCTTTTTTGCACTCTGTAAATATAAAGTAAATATATACATTTTTTAATAAAATGTAACGAAATCATTTAACACGTTTCGTGTCATGCGTACTACCGATGGTACACGTTAGACTTTCCACTCAGGCCACGTATACCACCGGTGGTATACACAGGCATATTTATTTAATACGTCAAAACAGCAAATGGCTTGAATAAAAAGTCGAACGAAAATGAATCGGTACGGAACGTGTTAATCTAAATTTATAATTACATTTCATTTTAATTTTTCTACCACGTGTATGTATTAATGTTTTCTTTTTATTTACATACTTGATCGATCTTGCTATAATTTTAAACGAAATTTAAGGTTACAATATCTTACTATCGAAAACACGTGAATTCTTAAGAATTTTTAAGTACTCTTAAAGATAACTACATAAATATATATTTATTAGATCAGGTTATTCCCTAAAAGAATATTTCCTGTGGAAACATTTAAGTGAAACTTGAAAAAAACTTGTTTAAAAAAAGAAGTAAAACGTGTGAGTAGTGCCTTTCACTACCACCACACCACTACCTCTCACCTGTTATACTCGATTTATCAATACTTTCACAATATTTTTGAAATGTGTACACAATTATATCTCAGGTGAAGATGTTTTGATAAGAATTCCTATCGAATTATTACGAAAATGAGATAATAAATCGTTTATAAGCCCACAATTATTCCTAGTTTTTTTTATACGCATTGCGATTACATATAATCGTGTGCTTTTATAATTCCATCGTCAATATTTGTTATACGTTTTTTATTTTCAAATAAAATGTTTTCTTTAAGAAAACTACTGTTTAACAAATCTACATTATTTAATAAACAATTGCACACTTCGAATTTATTGTAAGTAATTATGTTTCAAGAATATACATTATAATTTTATTATTATAGATTGGTCACTCTTAATATTAGATTTAAAATTTAATTTATCATTAAGGATGTTATTAATAATGTAAACAATAATTAAAAAAGAAGTACGTATTAAAACAAAAAATAATTTAATTTGACAATTGAACAAGTTTTTATATGAAAAATGCATTCTGTTAGAATTTATATTTTGTTCAGAGCGCAAAGTTTCATTTAAAAGATGCTTTTCTTTCTATATATTTATTTTGTGTACTAAAATAAGGTAATATTGTTTAAATATTCATTTAGAGGTTATAAACTAAAAATAGTTAACCCTTTGTTGAAATTTAACAAAAATGACAATACTTGTTGATTCAGTAGTAGTAGCAATTGACATTTCTGGTTTAGTTATATGTAGAAGACATGATCAAATCTGGAGCTTGCGTAAAATACTTTAAGGGTAAAGAAATTAGTTAAATAAAGGATTAAGAAATTAATTATGATTTTATAGATACGGTGCGATTATAATAGATGGAAATAAAATTTCAAATCAAATTAAGGAGGAATTAAAAAAAGACATCAATGCTTGGGTAAGTGTAGGCAATAAGAAACCAAAGTTAGTAGCTATTCTTGTAGGAGGGAATCCTGCCAGCCAAGCTTATGTTAAAAGAAAAATAGAATCTGCAAATTTCGTAGGTAATATACGTTGTTAAAAGTATGAAGAAATTTAATGCTAATGATTTATTACTTATGAATTGATTGTTTAGGTATAGAAAATTACACAATTAATCTTGATGAAAACACAACTCAAAAAATGTTACTGGAAAATATAAATAACTTGAATGAAGACCCATCGGTAGATGGGATTATCGTGCAATTACCATTGCCAAAGAATCTCGATGAGAAAGAAGTGTGTCAAGCAATATCATCCAAAAAAGATGTTGATGGTTTTCATTTAGAAAATATAGGAAATTTGACATTGGATCGTAAAGGTATTATACCGGCAACTGCATTGGGTGTAAAAGAGTTAATAGTAAGATCAAATGTTGAAACCTTTGGAAAGCATGCAGTTGTGATAGGAAGATCAAAACATGTTGGTTTACCAATAGCTCTGTTACTACATGCGGATGGTGCAGGTATTAATATCTAGATTAAAATCAAATTATTGTTTTTATGTTAAGATCAAAGAGCTGCAGCTTTAAATTTGATTTTCGTAGGAGAAACGGGTGGATTAGACATGACAACGACAATTTGCCACATCAATACTCCTTCTGAACAATTAAAACAAATGACAAGACTTGCTGATATAGTAGTAGTAGCAGTTGGTATTCCTGATTTAGTTACAGAAGATATGATCAAACCTGGAGCATGTGTAATTGATGTTGGAATTAATAGAGTCAAAGACAAAAGTAGTAATAAAAATATCCTTGTTGGAGATGTGGATTATGAAAAAGTGAAAAAGGTTGCAGGATATATAACACCTGTACCAGGTGGTGTAGGTCCTATGACGGTTACAATGTTGTTAAAAAACACATTTACAGTAGCTAAGAAAAATTCCGAAAAAAACAATTAGAAAATATTAATTTCGAAATAAGATGAATGATTATTAAACAGTAATCAGAAAATAAGTTTATATAGCTGAACATTTTATAATAAAGTCATTCTATTTACACATGAAACTATTTCAAAAAATATAGAAATATACGTTCAAATTTGAAGTACAATTGCGACACCAGCAAGAATCCACTTATTTGGTTTGTCTCGAGTTCTTAAATTGAACGTCCAAACGTAAGTTGGACCACGACTTCTTGTTTTGTAAACTGGACATTCATACATATTTTTAAGATCTTGCTTATCTTGTGTGATTGCTCTAATGTATACTACTGGCATTAAAGGAAACAATTCTTTTAAACGTGCATCCGTGATTACACCTGTTTCAATATCCCAACGAGCACCTTCCATATATAAACTATTAATGTAAGAACCTTCACGTGGTGGTGAGCTATGAAAAAAAATTAAATAAAAAATATAGAGCACCAATAATATAAATGAGATTTCCTTACGTGATTTCTTCTTTTTGTTTTGTAGTTACTTCGCAATGTAAACACATTTTATCCAAAGGCCATTCATTTCTACGTGCAGTTTGTTGCATGATTGCAGTAAGAAATGATTGAGGATTAAAGAATCCTCCTAGCCAAACTGATGAAGGAAGCTATTAAAAAATATTTCAATATTAATGTGTATAACCGTAACAATCATAGAATACAGTAAGTAGTAGAACAAAAAATACTGAATGTACAATGCAACCCTTGATCACAACGAGCATGAGACATGGATGAAATTCAGTACTGTTTGTTTTGTCGCACAAGCTGTAAAATATAAAATAAATTTCTTACATTAAAATCTGACGTCCAACTAGCAAGTTCTCCAACTCTGTTTAGCATATCGGTAAACCAGCTACTTAAACTAAGATTTGAAGGATAAGCTAATCTAGCCCATAATGGTGGAACAGAATTAATAAATATATGATCTTGTAAGACTTCCATATCAGGGCTAATTGTAAGTTCACCCTGTAACAATTAAATGAAACAGAAAATTATTTAAATTAATATGTATGATAAATGATCTTTAATTTAATTAATGAATACCTTTAATCCAAGTGTTAATTCTCCAAGAGATCTTTTTAATTCATTACATAATATATTCATTCGTTCACATTCTTGAAAAGAAACAATAATATATGGAGTAGGTTCTTCCACCTGGAAAATAAATATCTCTATTTGAAAATAATTCTTAATATTTAAATAATAAATATAATTAAATGATGAATTTTCATATTCACCCCACGAAGCTATATACAAGGAGAACGAACGCAGTTATAAATGTGTCTATGTATATGCATTATGAAAAGATGATTTCTATTACCACTAGAGAGCGCGTCGATTCGATGGGTCAGATTCTTCAAATATATATAGTTGTACCACACACAACACACGTACTAAAATCTGAACTCCCGAACACCACCGCCACCGTCGTGGAGAATTATCGTACCCGATATTTCCTCATTTTCAACGACACAAATTCGACGAGAACGCGTATCGCGTTCGTTCTCCTTGTATATAGGCTTCGTGATTCACCCTATTCATTAATTCTGGTATATTAAATTCTTCGGGAAGTCTATCCAGTAAATCCTCTATAGTATACTTCACTTTATCTTCCATTGAAAAACCTCCTTTAGTGGTTTCAACAACATTTCTTGGTTGCATTTCTATAAGGGTTCTAAAAAGATTTTCTGCAGTTGCTGTTAAAAATCCTATAAAACATTTTAAGTATTATTTTAGTATCCTTATTTTATATATTTTATATATACATATTTAGTAATTAATAGATATACCTATTTCAGCATTTGGATGAAGTCCATATAAAATAGGACTTTCAGCGGGTAAATAATCATCAATATATTGATGATATGCCATATAATCACTATTAGGCGGTACTAAAAATCCTGGTGTTAAATACAACTCCCCTTCAACGAGTTCAGGTTGTAAGTATTCTAAAAGATATGTTTTACATAATCTTCTGTCCCAGTCATCAGTGATATGTCCACCATACATTATTTCTCCAAATAAATATCTAAGATCTTCCCATGGTACTTTAACATTATTTTCTAAATAATTTAATAATACTGAAACGCTAATGGTCAAATCACCGACACTAAATGGGTAAGACTGAAATAATAAAATAACATAAAAAGAACAATTAATAAAATTCGATTCATTATTAACCCTTTCGCTACGAGCGTCGCCTATAGGCGACATCCGTGCGACGTCCTGTGTGTACGAGCGTCGCCTATGGGCGACATCATCTGCCTGCTAGTTTGCTCAACTAAATAAAAACTGAGCTAATTGTGTTTCTTGGCCAAAAAGTTGATATAATGGTAACTCGACGACGCTGAATCGAATGGTGCTAATTTTTTTTGCAATTGGATCAAGATATCTTTGAGAAAAAGGGTAAAAAGGGTAAAAAAAGCCATATCTTAGAATCTAGGCATTTAATCAAAAAAATTTTTAAACAAAAGTTGTTGAGAATTGAAAAATACATAAAAAATGTTCTAAGGTGTATCTTTGTATTTGCAAAAATAAGCGAGAAATATTGGTAAAATTGATTTTAGGAGTAGTTACACGCGAGCGAGCTAATGTGCGTTATCTTAGGGTCTATCGGTCGTGAATGCGAGTGCGAGTGAGAAAAGAAATGGATATTTCTAGGCTTTTTAACCCTTTTTTACCCTTTTTCTCAAAGATCTCCTGATCCAATAGCAAAAAAATTAGCACCATTCGATTCAGCGTCGTCGAGTTACCATTATATCAAGTTTTTGGCCAAGAAACACAATTAACTCGGTTTTTCTTTACTTGACCGGAGAGACATTTTTCGGCGCAGTGCTCCGTTCAGTGCCGCTACTCCGGCGGCACGGTGGTCCGTACAGCGGTGTCATTTCGACGGAGCACACTGCCGTAGCGAAAGGGTTAAAAAAATGAAATATATTAAATATACTTTATTCCATCCTTGTGCGCCGAATTTTTTACGTTCGTTAACAACAGCATGATAGTAACATAAAGCAAATAAGATAGCTTTAAATTCCGTTTCTTTAGTAGACGAGTCCAATGTTTCTTGTGAAAAATTATCCAATGCTTTATGTATATTAGCATGCATTCCTGTTGGAGGTTCATTTGTAATCTTAATAGCTGATTCTAATATACCCTGAAAAAAAAATCCGAATGTATTAATATATCACTGATATAAAATAAATGTTCTTTTGTACTTGATAAATACTTGTGGTATAATTGAGAGAGAAGGATCAGAAGCAGGTTCAGCACTCATATATAGACGATAATTATCATGAGGATTTTCTGTAAGTTGTTCTATTTTTCTTTCTAATTTTGGTAACCAACTTTGTACAAGATGGATGTTTTGTAATATGACCCAGTGTCCTTCAGCTGCTGCAATACTCATAGCTTTTTCAGCGATAGGTTCTTGTCCTTGACCTAATGACACATTATGGAAATTTTGACCATCCGATGTAAATCCTAATTTTTGTCCTAGGTTTTCTACATCCTATGAAGATAAATTGTTTTTTATTGTTAGGATAAATATTATTTTAATATGTATATTATATTTAATAAAACATATCACATACTTTTAATGGATCTACACCAGGAGAAAGGATGAAAAACACTGGTGTTATTGAACTTGTTTCTCCGTATGATTTTTCGAAAGGTAAAGCTCTGGATTGAACAAATTTCGGGCCTAATTTTTCTTCTACGAATAAACTGGTATAAAATAAAAATAAAAGTTCTCAAATTATCTAGTAAATTGGTGCGTAAAAAATATGTATATAGACATAATCGTTTACCGTATAGCATAAGTCATACGATCTAATCTCATACATCTGATCATACATAATCTCTGTAATGGTGTTACATTTTTCCATTCCTGTGGAAAACGTTCTTTTTCTGGTGTTTCTGATTCAACAATTTTCTTCCATCGTTTAGATGCACCTTCCAGATCTCGATCTAAATGTTGAAATGCGTCCATTCCACTTAAATATACTATACCACCCCAATTCTTATTATCCAAAAAGTCAACACGACTTCGGAGATAGGGAATGTAAGGAAATCGTAAAATAAAATCTACTTCCACTAAAGATATTTCTTTCATATGCAATAAAATCTATAATTTAACAAAAATAATTGTTATATATAAATGGAGAGTTTAGTTATATAAACTATGATTATATTCACTTACCTGTATTGTCATTTGAAAAAGAAATATAATTTTGTCACTTTCAAATAATCCTCTACTAGTATACACATATACTAAATACGTTATACTGTCTATTAAATACGAAACACGTTTTTCGACACTGTCAGCTAATTCTGCAAACTTAATAGCATTTTCAAATACTATACTAAATGCCTTTAGAGAAAATTGATACAACATATTGATTTTATGAAGCTCATTTAAAATGAAGTATAAAAGACTAGCTCTGGCAGCAACTGGACGATATAATTCTCGTGCCATATCTATTTTAATGGCAGTTTCTTTAGCTTCAGCTGCCTTAATTTCAATATCAGCAGCTGTTTTTTTAGTTGTTTCAAGATTCACAACAAGAGTAATATCGCTTAAAATATCAGGTCCAGCTGAAGATAATCTAGTTAAAGCAATTAAATATAAATATTTCTTTCAAAAAAACATATATACACACACGTTCATAAAATATTTACCTATGTAACAAGTCATCTTCCAATACTTTCAATGTAATTTTAAATGTATTTTGCTGAGTAGTAAGTTCGCTTTTGGTACTTTCTAAATCTGGTCGTTCAGCTTTGACTACTTCACCTAATAATTGTTCTTCCAAGCCATCTCTTGTAACAGTAAAATTAATAATTGTAGTTTGTGCTTGCATTTCTGGTTTATAATGTGGATTTGCCAATTTGGTCTGCAATATAAGTCTAAAATTTGGATCATAATCCACTTCTTTGTCTCCTATTTTTAAGGCTCTGAAAAAGAAAATATTTTTTTACCAATTTTAGATACATACAAGTTTTTGCATACCGTCCTTTCCTGATAAGAACTCGGCCTAGAACTGGATCCAATACTGCATCAATTGTTTCCATAATATTTTCTAATAAAACAACTTGTCCATTAGTAATAGCAAGTTCAATCACATCCAAATAGTTGCGTTGACTTAATCGTAATACTTTGAGCTCGTCACCATATTTATTCTTAATCCATTTGATTCCTTGTAATTGTGGATCAATCATTAATGGCCATCTACTTGAATTTGTAAGTATTGTCGCATTTTCTGCTGACATTGAATCAGCAGGTAATCCTAAGTCAAAAATACTATATGCCATTT